GAGGGCCGGTTTCGGCCGTGCCCGCCCGGGGGTTCCCCGCACGGTGCCCCGCGAGCGGCCCGCGCGGCCCCGAGTCCCGGCTGTCACCCGCCCGCTGGGTAGGACAGCCTCGTGGAGCTCGCGGTGAGGCAGGAGAGTGGATCTGCGCCGTTCGGGGTGTTGGCCTCTGGGCAGCGGGGGCTCGTTGTCAGCGCTCGCCCCACTAGCGCCTTGTGCGGTTGTCGAAGGGCAGCTGCGATTCCTGTCAGCATCTCCGCCTCTGTTTTGAGGCAGGTTTGGAGGTGCGGTAACCGGCCCGCTGCAAGGAAGAGAAGTTGAGTCATCTCCTCTGTCGAACATCCTGCTCCGAGCGCTCTGGGAGTAGCCTCGCGCTGAGTGTAGCCTCGCGCTGAGTGTGGCCTCGCCAGCAGCAGAGCTGGAGATGGGCACCTGAGCGGCTGTGGCGGCTCCATCCTGCCGTCGGTCGGGCTGGTGAACATCCCGGTGCTTGGTGCTCCTCTTGCCTGGGATGTCCCTCATCCTGTGGGCAGACACCTTGGGATAAGAGAATCTAGGCAGGGAGAAGGCCTGGCTGGTTAATCCAGCTGACTGATAGGAGTAACGCCTCCCCTGGTCCTTCTCTTCAACTCTTGGTTTTAAAGTGTGGGGGTAGAATCATAGAATCGTTTGCATTGGAAAGAGCCCTTAAAGGCCATCTAGTCCAACTCCCCCGCGACGAACAGGGATACCTATAGTGAGATCAGGTTGCTCAGAGCCCTGTCCAGCCTGACCTTGAGTGTCCCCAGAGATGGGGTATCCACCACCTCTCTGTAGCTGCCCTCTACAAGTGACCAGTGAGCAGTAAATACAGCTGGTACGTTGGGAGTATTTTTCCAGGAATGTTTTAAGTTATCCTGCCACTCTCAGTGTTTTGATGTGGGATGCTACTGTTGCAATCCAGGGGAAGAAAGAGGATTCTCAGCCCCTTCAACCTGAGCATTCTTTGCTCGGCATCTTGCTTCAGCACTCCGTGAGCAGACAGTCCATGACTCAGGGAAATTTGGTCACTCTGCATCTGTTATGTGTTGTCCTGGTATGTTGCAACCAGAGTGCTGAGATCAAGCAGAGCACCACGTTAGTTTTTCTCTTCTCTCTTTCCTCTGTAATCATGAGGATGAAACTTCCATTGATCTGGAGGAGGTGACTCCTTTAAGGAGGCCATGGTCATGCTGGGTACAGGTTTATTTTTGCAGGGGTCCAGTGTGCAGGTCTGGTACAGGCCACCTTCAGAATGTACGCCTAGATCATCTGTTCCTTTTGATCTTGTGAGTCAGCGAAAGCCGGAGAGGTGAAGAGAGGTGTGGACTCATCAGCTGTTGGGTTTGCTCCGCTTGGAGTAATCTGTCAACACAAATTACCTTAGTTTCCAGCTAAAGTGGTTTTTTGTGTGTATGTGGCAGTTGTATTTTGCAATAAAAGGAAACAAGCAGTTTATCCAATGCTGGATTATTTCATTTAGAGAATTTCTGTACTGAAGCCAAGGAAAGAGGATTAGTGGTGGTACCCGTAATGGGGTATGGAAAGGAAAACTCTGCAGACTGCTACAGCTGCTGTTGCTGCTCTTGGATGCTGAGCCTTTCTCAGTGGCATGGCCCCCTCCTCTTTTTCTGTCACACGATACTGATGTATATAATACCAAGTGGTAATTGCAACTGACTTTATGTGGCCATTAGTGTTGGTTGGAAGGCTTGAGGCCTGGCATTTTTATTTATTAATTTATCTTTAATTATTACTTTCCTCTGTAAAATTATCCATGTTTATTTTTGCATAAGCCTGTCCAAATGTTCTTATTTTTCCCAAGCTAAACCTAAAGCATTGGTTTTTAATGCTATTCTTACTCTGTTTAGAGAAAAGCCGTGGTTTACTGACTGCACTGACTTTAAACTCATCTCCTGGCTGCTATTACTTTTCATATACGTATATATATATGTATTTTTTTGTTTTTTTAAGTACAGAATGAGTAATGAGATTGGACTTAGGAAAGGTGGCCTTATTTGTCTTTGCAATTTATGCCTAACTTTGACACGTATTCAAAGGTCAACTGAAGTCTGCGGTTGAAAATGACAAAGATGTTTTCCAGGAGCTGAAGTCTAGTGACTGAAACAGTGGTAGAGGTCACGGTACTTAGATTTGGCCGTCTGTGAGCACGGCATACTTAGTGGAGAGTTTTTCCTGGGTTGGTCCTTTGTCCTGTTACAGTTAAACGCCCGCTATTCACACAGACCCTGCTGAAGGGGCGAGTTGAGTGTTAGTGCTACAAAAAGAGCAGGTAAGCTGCGTTCGTTGTAGGAGCTGATTCATGAAATGCAAATCAGTGTGGACAGTTGCACCTAGTTCTGTGGAAGTCAGCAGAGCTGTGCCACTTAATGTCAGCAGCAGCAAATCCCGCTCCCTTGCTGGCTGATAAGGTAGGCTGACCCCGTTCCCCCCTGCAGCCTTTTGCAGCCTGATGAAACTTCTCCAGAGCACCCATTTTTACCAACGCATTTAGAAGTAGCTTTGGGCAAGGAATTGGATGGCTCTATCCTGAGTGCCTGTCCGAGCAGAAGACAGTGGCAAAATAACACGTCAAGCCATTTTTTAGAGAAGTGTATTTTTCCAAGAGGACTCGTAAGAAGTCTTAGCAATCCGTGGTAGGGCTCTGTGGTCATGCACGGTGAAGAACATGAGCCATTCTCATGGCAGATACGACCGAAGGCAGGCGTTGCTCTCCTTGTTGGTTATGCAGTCTTCTGTTATTTAGTCCATGGTCATTTTGTCAATGTTTCGGATGATAGAAAGAGGCTACTGTTTTTATTCAGAAAGCAGTGGTTGAAAAGTTCACAAAAACAACCACCTTATGTTTTTCTCCTGTGACTCCCACCCCTTCTCTCGCACGTTCCTGGCAGCCATCGGCCTTCGTTGTGCACAGCCTGGAGTTGCAGTTGCTGAAGGCAGTGTGAGATGACACAGCTGAAAGTTCCCAGCCATAGTCTAGTGCTGAAGTATTAGTCAGCACAGTATGAAGATTCACTTCTTTCCAGGTAGCTTTCACCCATAGTCATGTTTCTTGCTTCTAGAATGACTAGGACAACAGGGGCAACATCTGTCCTTGGTTGCACAGTGTCCTAATTTTCTACCTTGCATACAGCATTGCTTCATAATGCACCAGTGCAAATGCAAACTTCTGGATTTTTCTGCTTTTGCTGGCAACAATCTAAAAAGCCTCCATTTTAAATCACTCTGGTGTTTCTTGATATCTCTTTAATTTGCAATGTCTAGCCTTAATGGTTGGAGTTTAAGCTTTCATGTTCTCTTGAGAGCACACTTTTGATGCAGAAATAATGTCCTGGAGCCTAAAATGCTGTAGTGTACTGTAGCAGGGATGTGATTTGAGACTTGTGCTGCAGATAGCCTAAGATAGCAAGGCTATTTAGAATAAAAAGGTGATTTTGTTTATTTTATTTATTTTAAACATCAGCTAAGAGGGTTGGCTGGAGTGGCCTGGTTGGTGAAATTGGTTCCTATCCAGACTCACTTTTGCTGTAGAGCATGCAAGGACCCCAGAGCAACCATCTTTTAATGGTGATTGCAGACTTGAGCTCCCTGCTTTAGAGCTAGTGTGCCATGCTGTGATCACCCAGTGGAGCCCGGAGGGAAGAATGCTTGCACAAAGCTACAAGGGAGCATGCACATCACTGGAGCTTTGCTGGTTTTTGTGAGGCTAGGTAATTATAGTGAACACAACGCTTTTATATCTGGGGAAAGCCACGGCTTTAGAATGTACTTGAAGGTATTTCACAGGTCCTGCTGGCCTAGGCATGGTGCACTGGGTTGCCTTTCAGCAGGCAGGCTGCTGCAAGGGGAAGGCTTGAGTGATAATCCTCCATGAGAACCTGCCATGGCTTTTGGAACTTGGCGACTGCTGGACGAAGCAAAACGGGTGGAGTTTTACCTTTAAATAGCTGCACTCAAGAAGCTGTTGCTGCTGTTGTGATGACACATGGGTGTTGCTAAGGCTTTCAGAAGCCAGTGCTGACATATCTGTATTGGTGGTATGCTTTGCATGCACCAAAGAAAAGTGGATCATGTGCTCTCCCTGCCACAGTTCTGCTCCCTTCAAAGGATGCGGGTGTGGGTCAGATTTTTCAGGTGTCAGAAAATGAAATTTTTGGCCAGAAAGCATGTGCTTGGTCTGCTTGTTTTATTTTTATGCCCTTGGTGCCGTTCCCAAGCTGGGAGGGGTAGCACTGCGGTGTTTACCCGTGTGTATGCACAGGGCCAGCCCTTGGCTTGACCTTGGTGCTCATGAGTTAATGAAAATCCTCTAACCGAGACCTGTGCAGGCTGCTAGGTGCAGTGGTGTGAGTGGGCAGATCTGGGAGAGGAAAATGCAACTCGCAGACTTTAATCGATTCTCACTCTGTAAATGCGCAACTAGCTGGGTGCAGTGATTTCCTCCAGCTAAGAGCCTGGCAGTGCTGTATCCCCCACTTGCATGGCTTTGCGCTTCGAAGGTCCCTCAGGATTTTGTGTTGCAGTGCTTTATCCAGCTCGCTTAGCAACTTTAGGCAAATTGCCTTCTCTTTTTGAAGTTTCGTCATTACTTAACTACGTGTGCTCTTATCGTGCCTTGGGGGGACGTGTTGTGAGGCCCGCTCCATGTTTGTACAGGGCTTCTGATACCCTTGGAGAGCGCCCATTATGTGAGAGTCCACATGATTAACAGCCCTGGCTGTCAGTGAGAACTTTTGGAGAGCTGTGCATTGAGAGTAATGCAGCTTAAGGTTGCAAAGAGGCACAAAATGCTGCCAGCAGTCTGTAGATTGCATTTGACAATGGTCTGCTGAAGTAGTATGTTCCATCCTGTATGCAAATTGAACTTTGTCAAATTGTGTTACCACAAGATATCTATATTTGATACTATATTTCTTTCTCACAGATTCTGCCTGGCTTGTTCATTGGCAACTTTAAAGGTAAGATTAGTTTTATCATTTCTTCTAGGATTGCTTAACAGGGGTCTTTAGCTGTTGTTTCGCAGGCCGGAGGAGTTCTCTGATGTCTGTGCAGCTGCTTTAACCTCATCTTGCTTCATTCTTGGATTCACCTGACAGCATTTAAAGAAGAACCTCTTTGCCCTCTCATCCATGTGCTGCACTGCAAGTACTTTTATGAGAAGAAAAATGAATGCCATCTCCTCAGTTCATGTTTCAGCTGGAATTCCTAAACATTGGCCTGCCTTAAATGATTCCTGTGCTAGGCAGACAAGCATGTGACCCAGGCAGATTCTTTGTAAGGCTTATAGCAAGCCCTCCTTATAAGTAAAGCTTAGAGTGCCTCCTGCACATTGCTTTCTTTATTTTGGTTATTTGTAACAGCTGTCAAAGAGTTCTGTTATCACTGCATGCGAGACTGGTAGGTCTGCAGATTGCTGTCTGACCACCGATACTTGCACTGCCTGTGCTGCAGATGTACGATCCTCTGATTGTTTACCCTTTTGCATGAGGTTTACCTTTTGTTCACAGAGCCATGTTTAGAAAAAATAGGAGACTTTATGTAAGCATCCAAATAAATGACCTGTTCTCAAAGTCCCCTGTTAGCAGCAGTTGCAGCTGACCATCCTTACTCTGAAATAAAGGAGTTGTGTCTGTACAGTCTTTTTGAGGTTGAGGTGCTATACTTGCTGTGTTTCATTCAGGTAACAAAGCAGGACTCTGCAGTATCATACCCTTCTCAATCTGTTCGATATTGTAGCTGACCTGCTAAGATTGGACAAAATTTGCACTGGATTTAGATACTGCTATATGTCTTCTCTGTTCCCCTCTTCCTTGCCTCCCCTGCTCTAAAACCTGCAACTTCACTATTTTCTGTCTGAACTGCTATCTCATTTACCTGACTCTGAACCTGAATGCTCTAGAAGGCAGCCTTGCTGCCTGGGTCCAGTGCTTGCTGCTGCTGTGAAGCAGAGCTGAATGCCCTGAGAAGTAGCCCAGGGTACATGTGAAGCTGAGAGCTGTCTTTTGCCATGCTGGGATGCCAACACAAGTACAATGGCTGCTTGTGTGTGAGAGTCGTGCCACAATAAGGGAAGTGAGAGGACGAAGACCAGTTGATAGTGATCTAAGAGGGTATTAAAAGGAGGAGAAACATAAAAGAAGGGGAAGAGAGGGAATATAAGAGAGAAAGGCTAGGTTTGAAGACCAACTGCTGCATGAGCTAGTGACAAAACTAAATCAGAGCTGTGTTCTTTCCTTTTCTTTGTCCAGTAATGTGGGAAAGGGGCAGGATGGGGGATGGAAGGTGGGCAATAGAGTCACTGGCTTTAAAGTTTCTGGCAGGGTGGGCAAGATAGGCCTGGGGATGGCTCTCTGTCACTCTTGCTGCTGCAGCCCTGCTGGTAAATCCTTGACAGTACGCCCAAGGGAGTGAAACTCAGACGGAGCATCTTTTTCTCTATGCAGTTTTGTTTTCAGCCAGTGAACAATATGACCAGCTGAGGGGAGTTGACTAGGGTTGCAGAGTGTCAGCACTGCCTGTGCTGGGGTTGTGATCCTTGTGCTTGCTCTGCTTTGCTGGTTCAGCCATGCTTGCCATTGGTGCTACGTCAGTCACTTCTGCACAGGAAGCAGAGGTGTGCATGGGGGTGGGTAGTATTCCTGGAAGCATCTCTTGGAAAAAAGCAGAGACCGGAATGCTTCATTTACCCACATAAGAGGAAAAGGATGGGCTTGAATATCAATATCTGTGTTTTGGAGTCTGTTTCTAAATTGATTAAAAATCCAAGAAAAGTGTTCACTTATTTATTGTTATGACTCTTGGTCATGTTGCATATAATTCTTAACCCTCATGAGTGTATCTCTCTATAGGTATACACAAACAGGAAGAGAGAATATTGATGTTGCGGTACTTCATTAACACAAAAGTGAAGTTTTATTGTATTAGCATCTTCGGCACCTCTGCTTCCCTCCCTCCCCCTTTCCAACTGCTTCAGAACAATTGCAATTGCTTTCCATGCAGTGAAGTCATCCCATTTAGGAACAGGCATTGGGTTTATCACCAGTGTACTTTTCCGGAGGAGTTTGATTACCATGTTCCCAAGGCATGCTCTGATTTGTGGCACTCTTTCAAAAAGTGACTAATGAATTTTGAGACTTCCATAAAGGGGATTGTTGCTGAGAAATGCTCAGCAGCATGCACTTGGGCTTGGTTAGAATGTCCCAATTTGGGCGGCTGGAACATCTAGCTACTTCTACAGACAGGGGTTTTAGCAAATTATTTCCTGTAATGCTTCTCTCCCTGAGTAGCCAGGCGGCTCAGAATTGAATGAAGTTCCATCTGGTCAGCCAGAATAGCACCAAATCCTTGGCACTGTGCATCTCAACTGGATGCAGAGTCGAGGTGCACTGGCGTGTTCTGTGTCTGTGTGCAGGGGGGTGAGAAGTTGGCAGAAATCTCTGAAGTGCTCTGATCCGCCCTCTGGAGGATAGGCTCTCCTTTCTCCAGTGACTAAATAGGGAGTCCAGGGAGGCAGAGTTTCCATAGCTGGTTCCTAAAATCACCATCCTCCTCAAGTTTGTCTCCCCGCTTTATGAGAAACCTCTGGGGAAGCTGGCAGTCTGAGGGCAGAGGGAGAATGTTTTGCAGTTCCTGCTAATTGAAAGCAGGATGTGAAAGGATGTTAAATGCTGTAGTCGTGGAGGTGCATTGTCTGCAGAAGGCATTCAGCAGTTGTTCTCTGGAATTACTATTCAATATCCAGCAATATTTCTGCTTTACGCATTGTTGTTTCTCCTGTCTTTTTAGGTGTAATTAACCAGTCTATGTCTGAGAAAGTGCAAGCTCTCCCACCTTTAACTGGGAAATAAACTAAGACCAAAGAGAAACCTGTAGTCTACATCTGGCAGAAATGGCAGTAGAGCTTTCCCATTGTGGGTTGAGTGCTGCTGCTGTGCAAGCTTTTAGCTGCATCAGAATGAGAGAGGTTTCTGCAACCACCTTAGGGTGTGAAGGGTAGAGGGCATGTAATCCTGACCATGGAAAGCACTGAAATAAATATGTGCTGAAATCCCACCAAGCCCATAGCACTTGAGTATGTCTCTCCTTGTTATCTTTGAAGATTTGTGGGCGTTACTGTGCTCACCAGAAGAAAATAGAAATTGTAGCGTATTTCTGTGTGTGTGTATTGGAGATTGCACAGCTAGAGGGCAGAAAAATTCAAGAAGAACCACAGGTGTCCATACAGTACAGTTTAGACTGAGTTTGGTCTGAAAGCCCAGGGGGAATTGGAACTCCTGGGCTTCTTCAGTGAAAATTAATGAGGAGTTATAAATTGAAATAAAGGGGAGGGGCACAATTAGGAAAGGGAAAGTAGTGGTAAACTCTTCTCCCTGGCTCTAGTTCTGGGGGAAATTTAGTTTGTTGCAGTTGCTCCTTTGCTCCTTTCAGATGAAATTCAATTCTGCAACTCTCCAAAGACAAATAATTTATTGCATGCCTTTGTATCTTCTGCATTGGGAATTTGATTTCCCCTGAAAGTCACCTGAGTGGCTGACAGAAAAAAGATGCTTTGTTTCTTCACAGACTGATAGGGCAGGGAGCTTTTGCTGCACAAAAAGAACAAGTTATTTTTTCCAAGATGGGGTTCCAAGTGTATGCTTGATTGCTTCCAAACTGAAAGCTGTAGCAGTAGTGAGCCCCAGACATTCATGAGTGTTTCTACCTTGAATATTTGAAGAGCTTTTGTCCTTCCTTGCTTGTACTCAGTTGGAAGACTCAAGTTTTTTCCAATGGAATATTTGGGGGCTTTTTGATTCGAAGGGGAAAGCCACAATATGAGGTTTAATTCCCCCAAAGAGTCCGGTTTTGCTGTGAGTGAGCTGGAGAGTCTAGGGAAAGTTTATATCCTTCCCATTGCTGAGTGCAAAAAGGTGGTATCCACCAAGTGGTTCTGCTGTGTTTCTAGATCCATTCTGTTATCAGCTTTGTAGTTCTTTTGAGAAAAGGTTGTTTTTTTTTTCTTTTTTCTGAGGCTTTATTTCAGATAGTGAAAGCAGGAGAGGATACTGTTCCCTTTTTTTATGGAAGGAAGATCTTTTTTCAAGGGTCGTCAAGATGATTAAGCCTTTTTTCCTCAGCTTCCTCATGCACTGGAAAAGTCCTCCTGAAGAAGCTGAGACAAATCACTGAATAGAATATAATCTGATGTGGCAACAGGAGATGGGGAATTTTTGTTCACATGTTTAGTTTTTGCGCCTGTAACTGTGGGTCACTGGAGTTTGCTTTGACATCAGGAGAACTTTGTTCTGTGCATTCTCAGTAACAGTTCTTAGTGTCCTGAGCCACTGGAGGGTAAGTTCTCCAAAGAGTCGTAGAGTCATTTCATTTACAGAGATATCATTTACAGACAGAGTGGTGAGGTGCTGGAACAGCTGCCCAGAGAGGTTGTGGATGCCCCGTCCCTGGAGGTGTTCAAGGCCAGGTTGGATGGGGCCCTGGGCAGCCTGGTCTGGTATTGAATGGGGAGGTTGGTGGCCCTGCATGAGGCAAGGGGGTTGGAGATTCATGATCCTTGAGGTCCCTTCCAACCCTGGCCATTCTGTGATTTTAGTTGGGAAACACCTGCAATATCATCAAGTCCAACCATCACCTGGCACTACCAGATCCTCCACTAAACTGTGTCACGTAGGGCTGTGTCTGCATGTCCCTTAAATACTGTCAGGGATAGAAAACATCACCACTTCCCTGAGCAGACCCTTCATTTGCTTTACCACCCTCCATGAAGAAGCTCTTGTTAGTATCCTATCTCAACCTCCCTATAGCTCTGTCTGGTTCTATCCAAAATAGAAGAAGAGGTGTTTGTTTTAAAACGAACAGAAAATTAACCCAAGCCCCAGTAATGATTAAAACAATGACAAAATCCACCATTGCCCCCAAATCAGAAGGCACTAGTGATGATGAAACTGTCTGTAATCTCTATACATCTGCAGGTTGAGACCTGACAGTGTTGTACTTTGGGGCCTCCCTTGCCTTGTTTTTGCATACATAAATTTTGATTCTGAAAACTTAATTGCAACTAGCTTACTGCTTTATGAGAGTGCATGTTTCTTTTCACGCTAACAACAAAGCTAGCTGAGGGCTTCTAAGGAGGAAGGAAGGATGCCTTTTGTAAAGGATAGCTAGAGAAGAAAGGTGACAAAATACAAAGGAACATGTCATTGTGTGGAGAAGTTTAACAGGTGAGTTGCAGTTAAATGTTGTGGATCCAGACGTATTTCACAGAATTCTTTTTTTTTGTTCCTGGCACAATTGGTAATTTTATACTTTGTTGTTCGCAGTAGAGATGGGAAAGGCTCTACACCTTAAATGGAGGAAAGGGAAGCTAACCATGGGCACAGGATGGGGAGAAGAAGAATTCTACAACATGAAGTACACCTTACACAAGAAGAGAGCTTTCTGAAGGCTTTACTCCGAAGTCTCCATTAGTTTAGAGATGTTTCACTGTCTGCTGTAAGGAGTCCTACATTTGAGAGACCATTCAGGGATGCACAGGATGGACTCTGATAGGTTTCTTCCAGAAGTGGGGTGAATTTTGATGTGGTTTCAAAATATGAGCCTGTGTGTGGTTGTACAACACTATGCTACAGTAAAAAAAAGCTAGAATTACTGTGCTGTGTAGGTGATTTTTTCTGTCTTTTAATGGTCCCTTACATAATCCCTTTAATGTTTGTAAGCTTATGGTACAAGACCACGAATATCTCATTTGTACTATTGTTTAAGTCAGCTTTGTCTGTAGCATCTGTAGACTTACAGCAGGGGCTGCAAGGGGAATTATCCTTTTATAATCTGTGCCAGGTTTAGATCCAGATCATACAGTCACTGGCTGAGAATTTTTCTCCTCTATTTTATAGAGGTGACTTTTTGGGTGACTATTTCCTAATACACCAAGGACCTGACATCACGCTGGGATGCAGCTCTAAGATAAAGCCATTTCCGGCTCACTTCTAGCAATATCATTTATTGCATGAGTTTGATTTGTTTCGGTGAACTTACTTAGCTGAAGAACTAATATCTTTCAGTCCTTTTGAGTTACAGTGTCCATTAGGCTTTTCAATATGCCTTGAAGCAGTCAGTGTTCACTGTGGGTCATGTTTGCCTTATGTGGCAAGCCACTTCTTAGCTTGTGGGTCATACTTACCTTAGGGAATGGAGTCTAACTGTGCCCTTTTGCATTCACACCAGGAATTGAAGCCTGCAGGCTCTGAAATCTGTCTCCAGCCTTTTGGGAACTGAAAGCACTTTCTTTTAGGAATGTTTAGCCTGTCTTCTAGGGCGTTCAGAACCTTAGATGTTCTCTGAGAAATCAGGACTGTTCTGTATACTTCTAATAAACCCAAAGCATTAGAACACCTCTCCTGGCAAACATTAGCGTTTCTTCTTTGAAATGCCTACTGTGGGACTCTTAGGAAATTCCAGTTGTTCTATGAAGCTGGACCTTAATTCTGTTCCAGATAGAATTTGGGTTAATTTTCTCCTGAAGGGATAAGTAACTGTGTTGGTCATACAAGGTCATTACAAACAGCAATTATTGGAAATTGACTCAGTTCTGATTTTTCATTTTATTAGCCCTGAATAAGCTTTCACAATAGGATTAACTTTAAATATTCTTGCCTGTTGCTGTGTTCATGTGGGTTCATGTGGATTTGTCTGCAGGGAAGTATAATTAAATGCCCAGTTCCACTTTGAGATGTAGAAAAGGCATTGAAACTTTATAGGAGAGTGGAGAAAGATGAAGCAAGAGGTGCTGATAGAGCTCTTGCACATACATAAAAAAAAAAAAAGTGTACAGGTGATGCTATTGTTATTTTTGTACCTAGAGAGAGCCGGTTTGAAACCTTTGTGGTCAATGCTCTCTTTTTGTGTGCAGCCAGGCTAATGTGAACAGATTGTATGGGCTAATTTGGAAGGCAGGTGTTCTCATCATAAAACCACTGGTGTAATAGGCGTGATGTGTCATGTCATGCTCATGGGAAAAGGTCAAGAGCAACTGGACACAAACTGACTTTTACCTGTATTTGTGATTCTTCAAGGTCATTTTCTGACATGCAGATCATTCAGTGGAGGGAAAGTTGCTCACTGATGACTAATGATCTATTTTACCTTCTTTCTCATAGAAACAAAACTATATTTTCACAATATCTAGCATCAGAATCTCTTGCCCCAGTTTGCTTTCCAGTTTTGAATGTTTGAAACACCTCAGTTAAAGGTCTAGGAATCACTTTTTCACAGTTGTGCTTCCTCATTACAGCTTTTTTCTTCATGCATTCAGAATCTTCTCAGTCTCTCCTTGTATTTAAAATAATGCTGTGTATTGGGTAAACGCACCGTTTTCTCTACTGATCCTCAGAAAATAAGAATCTAGTTCTGGTGTTGACTGGCCCATTATTACCTTAATTTGAGTCATTCAAGCCATGGTTTGCTTCACTACTCAGCCTGGGTATGGCAAGGTCAGTACCTCAAGTTAAATTATATCTCTTGAAGTGGGATTTGTGGGTGAGAAGATTTCTTGTACAGCTCTGACTGCTTGTTCAGATGGCCATCACCTGCACATAGACGTGCACAGATTTACATTTCAGATGCAAAATATGCGAAACTTTTGACTTAAGAACACATTCCTGAGTCACTTAAGTTTGTTCTTTATATAGTATTTAATTTGTTTTGGAGTTAAAGTTTTTTTCCCCATCCCCCTCTGATGATGGTGTTCTAGAACAGCTGCATTTGAGATTTTGCTTTACTTCTTGAAGCTTCAAAAAGAAATGTAGCAATGGCAGTGGTTTTTAACATGCACAAGGGAAAAAGGAATGGGGTGTTGTTTCAAGAGATTAAAAAATGTCTTCCTTTTATTCCCTTTACTGCAGATGCCCGAGATGTAGAGCAATTGAGCAAGAATAACATTACGCACATTCTTTCAATTCATGACAGTGCCCGTCCTATGCTGGAGGTAAGAGGGATACTCCATAATAAACTTACTTTGACACTGAGAGTCACAGCTACCTTGGGATTTATGTCATGTTCTGTATGACAGGTGTTTTGCAATGGAATTTGGAAATGTTTGACAGCTGTAGTCTTGGGATTCAGTCACAAATTTTGCTGTTGCTGCTGTTATAACAACAAGTAATCTAGCTGACAAAGAAAGAGACAATTATAGTGTCAGTCAGTATAACACAACAATGGGATTGTTATCAATCTAGTAGTAAAGGCAGATTCTCTTGTGTGTGGAGTTCATGCATCACATCAACATTCCTTCTCCCTTTTTCGCACTGCCAACTCGCCTCTGTACTGGGCCACTTTCTTGAATCTTTAAATCGAATTGTTGTCTGACTAGTTTGCAGTCCTCCTTAAGTCCTGGGGCCTCGGAGAAACAAGAGCTCTCTTGTGTAATGTATCTAAGACAACGGAGTGTCTCCAACTCTTTAACACAAAATATTATTCCTTGTTTTATGAAAGGGGAACTTATCTCAAGAGTTGAAATGACTTGACTTGCTGTGTTGTCTTAAAGCAGTGAAAGAGTTGGAACCGATCCGTTACTCTGTTTGACTGTGCTTTCTTCTTTATGCCATGTTGCCTTAAAGGGAGAGAAGTGTGTCAAGGCTTTGCTACACCCTAGAATCCTGCTGTTGATTTATATTGAACTATTTGTCCTCTTAAATTCACTAGCTCATTCCGTGCATTTCATTTTTGGTGAAATATGGCAAAGTGGAAGGTAAGACAGTTGGTGGTTTCACCTCTGGGATCTCTCCTTTTCACTCTTGTCACATGAAGTCTCTAGTGGATTCAGTCCTAAAACTGAAAACTACAAACTTACTACAAAACTTCCACTTCTCCCAGGCAAATCAGTAGTCAAGCTGAACAAAAGATATCCCTAATGTGTTGCGATTAAAACAAAAATGAAGTTCATGGGGAATTCAAGGTTTTCTTTTAGCTCAGAAGTGGATTTAAGCAGAGTTTACGTAAGCTGTTAACTTTGAAGTGTCCATCTGACTTACGTTGAGCCTGATGCAGGTTAGTTCTGAATCACAGAACTTCAAACTGCTCTTAGTTGAGGAGAGATGAAGTTGCTTCCTTTGGGGTGCTGCTCTCTAAAATGAGTAGAGGTTATATTTGTTTTATTATCATTATTAGAAAGGTAGGAATGCTAATTATGGCACGTTCCAGCTGCAACCTCAGGTCAATGTTTCTTGTGGTGGTGGTGGTAGTTCTGACAGCCCACACGCCTTCCTGACATGGCGTTGCATCTGTTTGTGGGTCTGTGTGGTGAACAGATCTGGGAGCTTGTGTGAACCAAATATAATCAAGTCACCATTTCTTCCTCTAGCTACTTCCACAAAAGACACTGAGTGTTAAATTTACCCAGCTCAGTTCCCAATCTGGTTCATGATGCAGTCTTAAAACTTACAGTGGTTGAGGAGCAGTGGCTGGTCAGTGGCTGGTTCTTTGTTCACCCTTGCCTCTGAAATAAATGTTTCTCTAACTGTGCCTTCTGTTTTTGCAATGTGCAATGTATTCTTCTCCTTGCAGGTGCTGTGGAAAGCAACAGTTAAACTTCTGTAAATAGCGCAAGGATTTCAAGGTCCATTTGTTTGGGAGCTGAACTGATTATTATTGCTTTATCATTCATAGTCTTACTGTGAACTTACTTTATCTGCATCTGAATGTTTCTCTTTTGGAACAAAGACTTAGAAGACATTGTGTTACTTCCTTTATTATTTGCATCTTCCCATGTCTGTAGGTAGGTTTGTTTAGAGCTGATGTATCCATGTAGTGCTTGAGTCCGCTGAAGTCAAACAGGAATGTTTTTCTGATGCATTTCCCTTCCTTTTATGCTAGACATCACTGTTTGCAAGTGAGAGCCTACGTTGGTATTCAGAAATCCATTTAATTTTATTTGGACCTTTGAACATGGAATTGCTGTGAATTGAGAAGCTTTTTTTCCTGAGGCTCCCTGTTTTGTGTGTGTGCACATTGATCGTTTCTAAAATGCTGCATTGTCATGAGCAGCAGTAGTTGCATTTGTCTCTTGCTAGCAAAATTTCAAGGATTTCCTAATTATCCTATAGGGAATGTTACAAATATTCCATAAAGCAAAGTTTTCTCTGCAAGCCACGAAAGGGTAAGTGTTTTTAGGAACAGAAAACTCACTGTTGTTGTCAAAGAGGATTTGGTCCTCTTTAGCTGTCTATAGAACAAACAAATATGGGTGCATACTCTCAGAGAGGTGCCAGATTACTCACATCTTGCTTGTCATGTTTTGAAATTATGGTAGTGTCTGTTATGATGCAAAAGTTCTTCTGATAAAGCACCTGAAGCTGCAAACCTTGGGTAGAGGATGAAAATGAGCAATCTGGTTTCAATGTCCGCACTGGGTTGGAAGAATACTCAAGAGAAAAAAGTAAATGTCCAATATATGTGGAGAGCACTAACTTGTTATATTATAAAATTACCTTCCCTTTTAGAAGCTTAGGATATTGCCACTCTCCTGACAGATTGTTCTTACCTAATTGTGTTTGAAGTATTCACAGTAGCTTATAAAATGTGTGCTTCTTTCTGTGTTTTATATGTACTGCAGTATTTGGAAGTATTTTCTAGTAGCTTACCAGCTTGCTAGAA